TGTTTACTTTAAACTCAAATATAGGTAAATGTTACTTAAAACTTAATGCCCTATATTATTTAATAATTAAGGACTGACTGCCTACCAGTAGTCCAAAAACAATTAAAAATCGACTGTCTTATTTCTTGGTATTTGATAAAAATTGTCCATTTCGTAACTATCTGGTGTTAGCTAGCTAATCTTATCGCCGTGTTACAAATAAGCTATTTTGTTTGTCAGGTATAGCTTGTGCATATGTTAAAAAATAAAACAACTTCATCATTTCATACATTCATCACTATCAAATATCAGCACTAGAATTAATAAATTAAAAACTGTTGAACACTTACTTTTAACTGTTGTCACACTATAATGTGACCGACAATCTCACTCCATATGAGTTCTTGAGAATTTATTTGAAAAATAACAAACAAAATAACACAATGGAAACTATTTAGTTGTGAATTCACTAGTACCTTTTTACTTGTTGAATTTTTTTTTCCCTTTCTTGGCCTGCACGGTTTGTGCGTCAGCCATGCAAGAAGGTTAGGAAGTAAGATATATTTTATTGAATTGGAAGTTGGAACGGAATTTGAAAAAGGATCAGGTAAATTTAGTATATAAGTACATAAATGATTATAATTTTATATTGTTATGAAAAATGAAACTGGCTAAAATTCTATATACATCAATATTTACATAAGATAAAAGGACAGAAATTGAAGTAGGAAAAGGAATTTTAATGGACAAAAGCGAGGAAATAAAAGCGGAACGGTCAAGTCGAGGACAAGCAAAAAATATATGGTTAAAATCCCCAACGTCATTGCCACACTCACATATATCGCTAGGCAAAAGTTTAAGTCGTGCCAAATGCAAGGGAATGCATGCATGGCCCAGCCTCATACGAATAAGGGTCGAAGTGATAGCTTTACCAAACGTCAGATTTGAAAACCATGGTTTATGAGGTATATCCACCTGGATCGTGCTATAATATCGACCTATAGTCTGACTTGAAGAACGCCAAATATGTGTCCAAGAATTCAACAACTGGGATTTAGGAAGGAGAGCCAAATCACAACAAAAGTTTTTGTACGGAACTAGATCTCCGTCATTACTTGTTGAATTGTGATTTCATTTCGCATGACATATTTCCTATAGCTGTCAGATTTGATGTTGCCACATAACTAACATAAATACAACGAAACGATATCGATTTGTATTCGATTAGTAATTTAATGAAAAAATAATAATATTTGAGTTTCGCTTTCAGCTCTACACGCTTTTTAAAATATATTTTCTTTTATTTTTTTAAATTATGTTTTAAACGTATTTTTAAGAACAGTTAAAATGTGGAGTAGCGTATTGTTATGCTCTAAACAGTTCATGGTAAATCAGCTAAAAAATCACTTGTTTAATTATCATAACATGATTCCATTTTAAATGTATTGTTAAAACAGATAACAATAACAGTTAAATTGTGCAGTAGCATTTTATTATATATTTTATTATAGTATAATCAGCTAGTAATTCGCTTGTTTAATTATCATAACATCATAATATCCATAGCGATTCGATTATCGATAATTTCATAAAAAGAGAATAATCTTGGAGGTGTTTTAACTTCTGCTCGCTTTTTAAAATGTATTTTCTTTTTTTATTTAAATTCTATTTTAATTGTATTTTTAAGAACAGTTAATTGTGCAGTAGTGTTTTATGAAGCTCTAAAAAATTCATGGTATATCAGCTAGAAATTCACTTGTTTAATTATCGTAACATGATTTCATTTTAAATGTATTGTTAAGAAAAGATAAGAATAACAGTTATATTGTGCAGTAGCGTTATGTTATACTGCATAGAATTCATTGTAAATCAGCTATTAAATCGCTTATTTAATTATCATAACTACAGATGCGAAGGCGGTTGTTAACGTTTTCAACCAAGCCGATAACAACGGTTGTTTTTGTCTTGAAATTGATAAAAATTGTGCAGTTGCGTTTTGTTAAGCTTTAACCTTTTGAGCGCCACGCCAAAAACGCATTACCGTGTCCTGTACGCCAAAACGCCAAAACAAAATAGTGTTGCCAAGAGTTGATATATCGATAACGTGAAATAACTTGTTTTTGTTGGTTTTTTATGCTATAAATGACTCTTAATAAACTGTATGTTTTATTTAATCTTGTGCCGTCTTCCACTCTTTTTATATACGTACTTTGCACATATAAACATAAATAAAAAAACAAACAATAACAATAAAATAGTAGTAAACATTAGCACTACTCTCCATCCTAATGACGACACTGTCGCGACTGGACGACAACGGCGTAGCTGACCTTCCCTTTTGAAACATTCTTAGAATGTTGTGTATCGATTTCAAAATCGATCTAACCGAAATATACAGACATCGATTCATAATATTTTATGTGTCGGGGAAGGCGTAGGCCAAGTGACGCACAGAAGAAAAGTCTTACACTCTTATGACAATGGGGATTCGATATGATGCTGATGCTGCTAGATGATTTTGAGACTAAGAAAGAAAATGGCACAACACAAAATGAAAAATTGCTCTTCACACCCTAAGTAAAAAAAACATTAATTGTAATTTTGTATTATTATTAAAAAACGTACATAATTATTCATTAATCAACAATTGTATATAATTATTCGCACTAGGTAAATCAGCCTTATAATACTAAAATCTTGGTCATGGAATAAATAAACATATTTGTTCACCAATCAATCAAAAATTCAATTCATCCATCAAAAATCAAAATTCATCATCATCGACGCTTTCCAAAATCCGAATGAGTTCTGAGGAATCGTTCATGTTGCATTGCTCTACTTTTCTCGGTAATCACTTATGACGTCATCAGGGTGTCGTCTATCCTTGATCACGGTGCCCAGTGAACTGATTTTCGATGACGCGCTAAAGATGCGCTAGAGTTGAGATATTAGATTTATTATGCGAAGATAATCTGATAACATTTTTTTATTCATGTAGCTAATTATAGTTTTATGTTTATAACCTTTAATTTTATTCAAATATCAATAATAATAGAAAAAAAAACACCATTGAGCTGAATTTTGGATAGTTTTCAAGAAATCTATGCCTCCCGCGTTTGACACTAGCGGTCAACCATAGACGACTTTGGCGTGCTGGACATAGTATTTGCTTAGATAAAAATCCATTTTTATTAGTTCAATGTTTCTTAGTACTTGTGGCTCTAGAAGACTTGTTTTTTATACTCACATGTTGCTGGGTTATTCCTATTTTGAGGAGTGTAGAATTAAAATACCTGTAATAATTTTCCAATATCTATATTTCATATTTTTCGGAGCCGGGTTTTTTGTCAACTATAGACGTCGTTGGCGCTCAGGGCCCGCAGGTGTTGGTCAAGTATAGGCGACTTTGCCGCTCAAAAGGTTAAAGGATTCATGGTAAATCGGCTGGAAACTAACTTGTTTCGTTATCATAACATGATTCTATTTTAAATGTGTTGTTATAAACAGATAAGAATAACTTAACCGATCTTCTTTAAAAACAGATAAGAATAACAGTTCTTATCTGTTTTCAAAGAAGATCGGTTAAGATTAACAGTTAAATTGTGCCGTAGCATTTGTTACTCTCTAAAGAATTCATTAGAAATCAGCTAGTAATTCGCTTGTTTAATTATCGTAACATCATAATTATTTAAAAATTATATTAGCACTGTAATGATGACACCGTAAATAATCGATCGAAAAAGAGAATCGATTTTTTAAATGTGTTTTGTGATTGGCAACACTTTTTTTTTATTCACAAACTAATGACATAATGATTTACCTAATTTTTATTATTATGTTTCCGGTACTTTTAATTTGTGCAAAAATATTCCCATTGTTTGAGGATAAATGAATACCGCGATTAATAACCATAAATAAAGATATAATTTTTTAACAAATTCACATTGTTGGGCGTTCCATGGCCGAAAATGGGCGTCCCTCTTTAATCTAGCAACACGGTATTCATAGCGCGTGAACTAATTTGGTGTTAAACGTTATTTAGTTAGTGTACACTGTATATTTATAAGTGATCGAAGGACACAGTTGTTTGCTACAAAAGAAGCCTAACTAATGTTTTTAAATGTATATAAAATATAGATACGATAGTGTATATAATAGTGTTTATAAATAGTTGATTTTTGTATATACAATCAATAACTTTTAAATACACCTTTAATTGATTTATATTTTATATTAAGGTTAAAATAACGTTTACATCAATTAAGTATAATAAAAAATAATTAATTTTATTTTGTTTTAAAAAGTACACGCCTTAAAAATATTTTTAGGATTAAAGAAATTCGTAAGCCTGAAAAGTATGAAAGAGCGTTCATTGATTTTTCTTTATCACTTAATTTTATTTTAATCTAAAATGCGACTTATTACGAAACAATATTCTTATAAAGCACGCGGTCTATCCAATGAACGACGTGTAATGTAGCGTGCTCCGAGATATAGCGTGCTGCTAAACTTAACGTGCTTGCCGGCCTCCTACACACTCTTTTATAAATAGCGCGCTATAACATAGCGTGTTTAATAGCGCGCTAGAAATTTCTAGTTTATAGTCTGTAGCGTGCTATTGATTTATAGTCGTTTTAAAAAACTTTATAATTAAGTGACATAGTGCAAAATCAAGTGACTAGACATGTGTGTTAATCACTCATTTCTAGCGAACGAATCATTCTAGTACATGTCGTCACGCATACTGGTACATTCGGATCGATCATTCAAATGGATCATTTGAGGCTCTCAAGTGACAGTGCAAGATCCCTCCCGCCGACTGAGTGATATGTTAAAAAATAGATCCTACTACGTGCCTCTATAATCAAAAATACAGTGGGATCTTGGCCTAAAGGTCTAGATACCAGGCCATAAACTCCAAAAAAAAAACAACCTACAGATGCGGTTGCCGGTTTACACGTGCTTTTGTTAGTAAATAATTTCTAGTACATAGTTTAGTCAGTAATCTATGGTAAATAATAATGGAAGTAGACCAAAATAATATTTTCAAATTATGTAAAGAATTAGGATGCTGTGACGCATGCTGCCTAAGGTATTTAGGACTCAAGAATCCTAGTGTTTACGAAAACACTAAAAATGTTGTTGCTAAGGTACAGAATTAATTTTCAAACAATTTTCTCTTAGTACGTTTCAAAAAACAATTGTATTGTATATATATATAATTATATAATTATATATATATATATAATTGTATATAATTATATATAATTATATATATAATTATATATAATTATATTGTAGTATGTTAATTACTAAATTAACTGCGTTACAGAAAACTGCACATAAATCGTTAAAATTTGCATAACCAAATTCACATGAAATTAGGAGTAAATGTACCTATATAAGCTTTAGACAAAAGAAGCTGTTTCTCTGAAAATCTGTTCTAATAATAAATTTTGCTACAGTAAATTATTCCAATGATGAATTTCTGAGGCAGTGTGAGGAGAACACTACCCCATTTACATCTCAGGACTGTGGTGTCGCTGGTTTATTAGCATGTACAGTGGTAGTCATAGAATTAAGAATGCTTTTTATATGACCAATTACAACCATTCAATTTTATTATAATTTCTCTAGCAGTAGAGTCAAAGGTTGATTTTTTTCCATTTTTACCAAAATAAATTGCAGAAAACATAACAAAGACATTTAAGTATGTAGTAGTAATAGACCATACATCAGCAACAAAATTGTCATCTGTAACATTTGTCCTATAGGATATATCTCCGATTTTTGTCATTTTGTCTAAATGCTCATATATATATATATATATATATATATATATATATATATATATATATATATATATATATATATATATATATATATATATATATATATATATATATATATATATATATATATATATATATATATATATATATATATATATATATATATATATATATATATATATATGAGCATTTAGACAAAATGACAAAAATCGGAGATATATCCTATAGGACAAATGTTACAGACGACAATTTTGTTGCTGATGTATGGTCTATTACTACTACATACTTAAATGTCTTTGTTTATTCTATAATTGCAGTATGAAGTTCAAGAAATAGCAACCAAATCTAATAACTGTGATGAGACTATAGAAGACAGCAAGAAAAATATATTAGAACAGTCTAATATAGAAAGTGATGTAAATGGTGACAGTTATAAGTCACCCCCATCTAAAAAACGCAAAATAGAACCGTGTGTGACATGTTTGGGTATACTACAGGAGGAAACATGGGCAGATAGTTTCGAAATGGTTAAAGAAGTTCTGGAGAAGAAAAGGTAATTTTCATCTTTGGTGTAATTTTTTCATATTCATGTGTTTCAAGTTAATACAACCCCTACTATATTTGTGGCTGTATTGTTTAGCATAGGAGGATCCACTACTCTGTATTTACTTGTAGGTGTCACAAAAGGAGACAGAGGGAAGCCGAATCACCAGCATCTTCCTTACAACAATTCATCATTTTTCATCATCAAAACAGCCTATTAAAGTCCACTGCTGAACATGGGCCAACACAAAGATTGCCTCATAAAGGGAATATTTTGCCTAGTTCCCACACCTCACACAGGCAGGTCGGTCACACTTATTTTATTTTCTAGTTGTTATAAGAAAGACGTTGCTGACCATCTGGTTTGTTTTCCTTCATCGCCCCCTTACAACACATACGGGGCAACATGATCTGTGACAGCAAACACCTGGCCGCCGAGCTTCAGCATGTCAAGCAGGTTCTGCACGACAACAAGCTTCGGGTCCCACGCCTCCATCACAGTGACCGAGTGAAGCCGGCCACAGTCGAGCGTGTGCCTGCTGTACTACCATATGTCAGAGGTGTCACAGACAAGATTGGCTACATCTTGAATCGAGCTTCTATTAGAACATTCTACAAGCCGCCGAAGAAGATTAGTCAGTTCTTACCATCTGTCAAGTGTCACATTCCTATACCAAGGATGATACGTGAGGCTATTGAAATTAAAAAACATCCTAATTTCTATAGAGAAGGAGGCTGGGTACTACCACCTGCTTGGGATCCTATACTTAATAAAATTAAAACTAAACCCAAGCATACCACTGCAAGACTTCAAAACACAGTTAGTTCATTCTGCGTAGATCGGACCAAAGACAATAATTAAAAAAGCTGAAGGTACTCCGGGTTAACTTTGAGATCTGAACGTCAGTCACCTCAGTCCCCCGTGACCATGGGTGCTGGAAAGCACCCGAAACGTCGGGTATTAAAAACAAAATAAATAAAACACGATAAAATCCGTAAAAGTAGCTTTAATCAATGTACAGTGTTCGCGTAAATATAAGAAATCATTAAGCAATTTCTTAAATTTGTTTATATTATCAGTTTCTTTGATGTTTTTTGGGAGTTTATTAAAAATTTTAGGAGCCATACCCAGGAAACTTTTTGAATACAGGGCTGTTTTATGAGGTTTTGTACGTAGTTTGTTCCTATGTCGTTTATTATTAGCGTTTTCAAATATGCTAAAATGTTTCCTTACAAACATAGCTACTTCAAATATATATAAAGATGGTAGGGTCAGAATGTTAAGATCAATGAAATGCGGTTTGCAACTATCGGTAACCTGCAACTGACATACTGCTCGTAAACATTTCTTTTGCGCTTTAAGTACTAGTTCGCGTTTTGGAGAATTTCCCCAAAATATTATACCATATCTCAATGTAGAAGAGATGTATACATGGTAGGCGGTCTGTTAGTATTTTTTAATTTATTAAAAAATACTAACTAGTAAGGTAATAACTTAATATCAATTAAAAAACGACAGCCGCCAACTCACCTACCCAGTGTGTGGTAACTATTGCAAATATCCCCCCTATGATGTACTACAGTGTAAACTCTATGTAACGTCAGTTGATTTAACGACAAACTCCTCGAAGCTTAAATATTAATTTTTAAACATCTTTGCAGATATGCTTGTGATACATTCGCATGCGCTCTGTCCGCGCCAATGGCAACCATACTCCGAGAAAGGGTGGTGGGGTTGCACCTAGAAAAATCTATTTCCCACTATGATGCCAGTAAGTGCAATTTTAGATTAGAAATGGTTTTTTTCAGGGACAAGTATATGTCATTACAGACTTGCACGAAAAATAATCCCATGGTTTTCTACCTTTGTTATATATCAGCCCTTTGTTATATATCAGCAGAACCATTTAAATGCCTTTGCACACATCAGTAATTCAACATTATTTTTTATAATACTAAAGTGATAAACAAATGCCATCAAAAACATAACTTGTAAAAAACCAAGTCTCGCAACTCAGTTCTTCTACCGTAAAAAGTTGTGACATCCATGTAATACCAAGTCGGTTAATTTATTCAGTCTCTACTTAAGGGTCCTTCTGTTTTAAGTTATTACATAATTAGCTAACATAACAACATTTTATAATGACCATATCAATGTTAAAATTTTTTTTTTTTTTTGCGCCCAAAGCAATTAAAGGGCTACCCTATACGTAGGGAGGCGGAAAATGCATTACGCATACCACGATAGCCGGTCTATCGTGGTTATGAGGGGCTCACTGTCCTACCGGGGACCCTAAGTGATACCCTCTAAAAACCGCCTTTGGGGACAGGCAACCGGCTGATTAAGCTGTATTGTGCCTTATCATGAGCGACCCTCTTTTGGGAAAAGAGGGCGCAGGCGGCTAAGTGCCGCTGAGGGAGTGCCTACGAAGGCAAATTAATGTTAGATATTACAATAATTTTATTTAATTAGAGTTGGCCTGAGCCGCCAGGAGACAGTTCAGGTCGTTTGAGTTTATTAGGCGGGTCCGAGAGAGAGTTTCTCGGCCTGCGGACACGATAGCGAGAGGGGGGTGGGGCTGCATAAGAAGCTGCCTCACGAATTAAATGGTTTGGGTGCGACTCTGAGGCTTTGAAGAAGTTCTCAGAGAGTTTTTTAAAAAATTGTTGAATTGTTGGGAGCTCTAAGTCCCGATGAAGGTCGGCATTACGGACGTACCACGGTGCGTTCGCAGCTCGACGACAGAAGAGGTTCTGAACTATTTGGAGTTCATTTAAAATGTTAGGGTTTGCGTGGGCAAAGACGGGGCCCGCGTAGGACATGACTGGTCGTGTTAAAAATCTTTTATGTTTTAATTATATAGATTGACTTGGCAATCGCACTAAGCAATCTAATTTAATATAATATGTATTACTTGTGAAATACATTGTGTTTTCATGCGATGTCCCAAGTATATAATCCAAACGGTTTGTAATTTTTTAAATAATGTTTACATGTATATTTCCAGATGCTTTAACACCTTTAAAGGAAGCATGGAAATGGTCATTTGGCACGAAGCTGGCAGCACATATAGGCAAAACATTGGACTCGGGTGCAGTGTCGCCTTTATTAGTCACTTTGAACATTGACTACCTGGATGACTTGCAGGTGAGTTGGAAATTGTCATTCCAGTTCCCATATTAGGAGAGTTATAAACTTGATGGTAAGTGGTTTTTTTATTAAATTATAATGATTGTAATCCATGGACACCTGCAGCCAAATTTAAACAAAAAAGACTGCAGATGTACTCGCTAAAAATGCAATTGCTAATGGCATTCTACAAAATTGAATTTACTTACATGACCTAATTTTGCAAGTAAACTCAATGAAAGTTAGAATTAATTGTGGGAAGTATCAAAAATTTTAACGGTAAGCACTGTGCTGCCATTCAAGGGAGAGAGGGAGGAATATCCCAAATTTTTTAATTCTTTTTTTCTTTGTTTTTTAAAAACATTACCCCTACACTAGGATTTTCTCCTGTATCGTTGGGGCAGTTTACAAACACAAATTGCACAAGTACACATCCAGACCCGGAACTATTATTTGTAGGCCATACAAATACTTGTTCCGTACGGGATTCGAACCCGCGACCCCCAGCGCAGCCACTCATTGCTAAGCCGCTGCGTCACAGAGTCGTCGTCGTCTTAGTTTTTTGAATTTAATGAAGCAAACGTGCTATTTTAATTATCTGTAGATTGAGATATGGACATGCTTGTACACATGTGCATCTGGTAAAATCAGAAATAGCTCATTGTGTCATGTCAATGTGCTCATTGTCACAAACCATATTTTTCAACTGTCCCAAACTATCCTCCTCCCTCCATGATTACCTTCCTCTTTATATTCCTTGACATATAAATTTTAATTATCTTTTATCATATACCTCTATATAACAAGTACTTTTGTGTATAGTTTATGTCATTTTATTTATACTAATAATGTAAAACTTTAAATCTTTGTTACTTTTAACATACTAATGAAATTGTAACACCTGTATTTGTCATTTGTTCTAGGTAATTTAACAGATAAATTTTTCAAAATTCTATTAGGTAAACTAAGTCCTTGTATTATCACATACCCTTATTTTAATTTAACTCATCAGCTTTCATTTTATGATCAATACTTCATTGGCGAATTTTACCAAACTACCGCAAAAAGAAAAAGAAATAAGAAGACTACAGAAGCGTTGTCACCACTGAGGACTAAGATGGAATGCGTCACAGCCTGCAATTATACTGACTCTCTGTGCCCTACAGACTGCGATGCAAACGCCTAGGCAGAGGATTCGCACCACTTAGTGGAGGCTACATGGACACTTTCAACTGACTTCAAACAAAGGCCAACAATATGTTATTACCTTTGAGGACTATGACCATGCCTCACAGCCTGATATTATGCTAGTTCCTTAGTAACTGCTGCATAGAAAGAGGAAAGGATGGTCACCAATCAAAACGTTACAAAAAGTTGCAAAAAAAAAATATCCTCATTTATTTATGCTCTGCAACACCTTAAACGTGTGACAGATTTTAAGACTGCCCTTGCGGCTTACTATGCACATGCTCACTCCGTACTCTCTTATGGCATCATCTTGTGGGGAAACTCTCGTTATGTAAACAAATTATTTATATTACAAAAGAAGTGTCTACGAATATTAATAAATTTGGACAAAATGGAATCATGTAAACCCCACTTCATTAAAAATAAAATTTTAACACTTACGTCTATCTACTCCTCGAATCTTGTAAATTCGTTAGGAAACACCCAAAACTCTACTCACCTACTAAAAAACTAAAAGAAATAATAGAAATTTATATAAGCTTAAGATACCCTTCTCCAAATAAAAATAGTTTCAAAACAGCCCTCACGTTATGTCAATAAAGATTTATAACCATTTACCGAATTCCATAAAAATTCTGGAAAATCCTGTGCAATTTAATAAACAATTAAAAATATTTCTTATTAATAAATGTTATTATAATTTAAATGAATTTTTTGACGATAAATAACGACAAAGTAAGAATACTTCGACTAGGTACATTGTATTTCAAATTAAATTAATTTATATAAAATAATATTGAATGTTGATGATATGATAATTTGTAATTTATGTTTAAAAATTAGATAATACGAAAATAGTTAGCCCTCTAGTGTTGCTATGCGCATCACATGTATACTGTTGCGCGCCATAATTAGTCTCACTAACGCCATCTAGTATCGAAAATTCCATACTAAAACTTTCTACAGCTAGTCAGTCGGGACCGGTATGTAACTAAATGTAATGTAAATGTGTACATTCTAGATGTTTCACTAGAAGTGGCTGTATATAAGGCCGGTAAAGACCGCGACCGGGTCGGTATTAAATTGGCGATTCATTGATATTCGCTTGAATCGCCAATTGATGAATGAAAATTGATGAAACTGCGAATTATTTATTAGTGTGTTTTAAGTTGAAATTGGTGTTCGGTAGTTAAAGTGTCAATTTTGGCAGTATTTGCCGTCAATACCATATACCCTCTTATATACCCTTCTAGTGTTAGTGTTAGTATTACACGGGCTGCATTCCACAACTGCATTACTAAGCGTGTATTTTGCGTGTGGTCAGGAATTAATGTTTTGAGGCAATCTATGGGGGAGGCCGTTCAGCGGTGCACTTTTGGTTGTAATGAATGAATGGTGAATGAAACTTGTCTTCCTCACCAACCTGTAAATGTTCACTGCTGGTTATGAATCATCTCCATTGCAGAAAAAAGCTCTAGTACCAGTTTAAAACAAATTGAAAATAAGTTGTGGTGTACGAACGAATTAATTTTAAGGGAAAGGTTTCATACAAACTAGCCAGCATACAAAAATAATCATTGTATGTGATAAACTTATATGGTTGGTTAAATATGATTTATTTAATTCATCATAACTATAAGTCAAAATGGATCTGCAAAGGACTTAATGATGTGAATGATTTCTTATCTTAACGCGAACACTACACATTGATTTTACATTAATTGACATACCCAAGCTTACACTGCAAGACCTCAGGACATAATCAGTTAATTTTGCATAGATCGGACCATAAACAATAATTAAAAAAGTTGATGGTACTCCGGGTTTAACAATGACATCGGGACGTCAGTCACCTCAGTCCCCCGTGACCATGGGTGCTGGAAAGCACCCGAAACGTCGGGAATTAAAAATAAAAAATTAAAAGTAAAATTAAAAGCGATAAAATCCGTAAAAGTAGTTTTAATCAATACCAAGGACTTGTTATAAAAACTGTTATTCTAAACCACCTGCATTCACTAACTATCAAATGCTTTCTATTAAAATTAAAGTTAAATCCTATACATAAGTCCCACTGCTGGGCATAGGCCTCTCACCTTTCTGAGAGGGTTCTAGAGCAAGGAAATGTCCGCCACGCTGCCTCAATATGTTTAGGTTAACTACACACTTCACTTGGAAATATATTTTTTCTTATTTCTCAGCTATGCAGGTTTCTTCACGACGTTTTCCTTCACCGCCGATCACGTGGTAAATCAGCACTTAAGTTGCAATTAACATTTTAATTGGTACCGGCGAGTATCGAAACCGTTTTGCTTGCGTACTGTGAAATTTTTACAGCGAGCGTTTAGCACCTGACCTATCCACCGCTCTTTCTTCTTTTTCTTTACAAACTTTTTTTGGTAAATATTTGTATATATTGGTAAATATTTATTTTCCTTAAATGATATTTTTATTTTTTTTAGGAATTAGAGGCATTGAAAACAATCGCGACGCCGCTGTTTGAATCCCGTAGTCAGCAGAGAAAGCGCTTTTCAACTGAATTCACTAGACGTGCAGTCGAGCAAGCATTACAGGGCGTGACACTAGAAACAATTCAAGCAGCTAGTGAAAGCTGTTGCTTGCCACAAATTACAGCACCAGCGAAATGTGTCAGCGTAGTGTGTACACATGCACCAATGTATTTAGGAGGCAGGTAAGAATGCGTTTTATAAAAATAAATTATAAACATCTTACCAGTGGTTCTTTACTTTTTAGTGATGAGGGACTATTTAATAAATGTTTGCCTTGCTATGGACCTTAACTTTTAAGCGTAATAAAAATAATGGTAAGGTTCATTTAAAGTTTTTTCTATAAACAAACCCATTACCATTACAGCCTATTAAAGTCCACTGCTGAACGTAGGCCTCCCCCATAATTTCCTCATAGGGGAATATTTGCCATAGTTGGCACGCTTGGCAAGCGGGTTGGCAACCGCAGTTTTATTAATTTTAAGTAGTTATTAGGAAGATGCTGCTGCCCATCTCCTGGGTTGTTTCCTCTCTGTCGATGATGATATGGGATAGTGGATATTCTTACACTGTCACTACACGGTAATATATTGTATACTAGCTTGCCAAGCATTGTTTTGTCTTTTCGACTATACTTTCGTCATGCCATATTAAAAATCCTTATTTTCGCAAAAAAAAAATTATGGGTCACTCATAGGAAAAAAACTATCCTATCTCTCAAGTTGGACCAAACTGCACACGGTGTGCAAATTTGATTAAAATCGGTTAAGTAGTTTAGGAGTCCATCGCGGACAAACAACGTGACACATAATTTATATATATTAAGATATAATATGTTCTACTCTTTTATATTAGAGACAAATGTATGATATCTCTGCAGACCACTTTGGGTGCTTTTAGGGACCACCAGTGGTCCACGATCACACATACAAAGTATCAGTATCTACCATACCCATATAGAGTGAGGCATCTGTTGACCTATTTTATAGTCCATGGTCTACAGTGACCACTTACTATCTAGTAGACTGTACATTTGTTTGTTACTTCAGTCCTATAAATAAAATTTCAATTACTCAGGTATATAAAGCTGAGTCGTGAATTACCTCAAACACCCTGGATAGTTGGAGGGCGTCGTGTCATGCCCTCCTCCGTTCAAGAGATCATCTTCCAACCCCTCGCTGAGTTGTATGGGTAAGTATTTCTCAAATTTGAATTAAGAGCCCTATCTCATTAGGATGCCATGGCATCGACGCCGGCAGCGTCGCCAATTATAACATATTAAATTCTATTAGAACATACTTAACCTTACCTCACTTGGCGACGGCTTGGCGTCGACGCCATTTTGGCGGCGATCCCAGCTCGAACCCGCCCGCTTGCTTGTCTTGGCAGCGGTGCCACGCTGACGGCGCTTCCAAGACAAGCAAAGAATGAGGATCGCGGCGGTAAAGAATGAAGATCGCGATCTCTTCGACGTCCATTGTGGTTGCATGAACAAGCGATACTAATTTCGCCTGACATCGGCTTTAGCGACTACTTTTGGCGTCTCATGGACGCCACCGGTAGCCATGGAAGTACTGCCGGCGTCGATGCCATGGCATCCTAATGAGATAGGGCTCTAATTGTAAAACGAAAAAAAAAATAATCTCCAGTTTCGTACATTCGAGGAATCCATTATCACATCTATTATCCACTTATCATCAGGTGGGCTGTGTGCTCGTTTGTCACCCTTATTCTTTAAAAATACCACTACCTCCTGGAGACGGCGGAGCTGACCTGGCTCTTTTTAACCGGGACATAGGTGTCCTCTCTGGCTGATACTTCGTATCTCTCTACCCTGGGTACAAATTAGAACACTCCTTTGTGCTTCGGGCTGGAGTATGCGTATATGTCAGAGAGGGCGTATCTGTTTTCGACGCCTCAGCAGTCTCTAAGATATGGACCTATCTATCCTATGGCAGCGCGTAGACAGCGACGACCATCGTCGCGTCTACGTGTGCCTCTATGGGTCCCATAGCGGTAATTTCAACACAGACCGACTCATCGATCACGTCCTAACTCCGTGCTACAGCAGGTCCCATCAACAGAGATCGTGATGCGCGGTGATTTTAACGCCCACCACCCTGAATGGCTTGGTTCGCTGTTGATCGTGCGGGTATATCTGTTTATGACTTACGGCATATTGTCTGACACAATTGGTTACTTCATTTACGCGGACCCCAGATGTGGAGGATTATGTACCTTCCCTGTTGGACCTTCTGTTGACCTCTCATCCGGACGGATATCAGGTCTCCGTTGATGACTCACGCTCCCATCGCGGTTGCGTTCTGTAGGTTGTAGGTTGCTGCCGTGTTTGGAATTATGGGTCTTTTTATGCATTCTACCCTTCGGGGCGGGCTTGCTTCTCGTCAGATGATGATGTGGTACTTTAGAGAATGGAATTATTTATTCCAGCATCTGTTGTGCCTATCGGAGGCAGAACTCAGTTGTGGTTTGGTCACTCCTGTAAAATTGGATGACGCCATAAGCGGAAGTCTACCGGACCTGGGCTGACGCATCAACGTCTGAGGATGCAAACATCAACGCTCTTAAAAAGGAGTATAATTCCGCCTCCAGGTCCTTCAAAAGTGTCAGTGTCAAGACAAAGTCCAGACCACATCGGCAGAATTGGCGAGAAACTAGTTCGACTTCTTTCGGGGACTCGTGCATTCTAGGCTCTCGTCAAGGCTATCCAAGGAAACTTCTGTCAGCCATCTCTGCACAGGGAGGATGACTTACTGCCCCATACTGCAAAATAGAAAGCCGGTCTGCTATGCTCTCTCTTTCTGCGTCCAGCTCGACTCACGATGACGGGTGGAACACACCGCCGACCATCCCGCGGTGTGAGTGCTCCATGCAGGATGTGCTGTTTACTCAGTGCTCAGTGCGCAGAGCACTTCTCTCCCTGGACGTCAACAAGTTAAGTGGGCCTGATGGAGTCCCACCTATTCTACTGAGATGTGTGCACCGGACAGTTGGCACCGGTTTTAACACGTATTTTCCGATACTTCTGCTCCCTAGGCATAGTCCCGAACTCATGGAAGACAGCTTTGGTGCACCCGATCCGTAAAAAAGATGACCGCTCAGAATCGTCCAACGAAGCAAGCACACGCTTATTAACAAGCTACTTACAAGCTTATCGTTATCACCTACATGTTCTGCAAAATAATGGAAACCATTTTTAGTGCCAGCTCATGAAAAACCTTGAGGATCACCAGCTGATTAGTGACCGTTAGTACGGCTTACGTCGGGGTCGTTCAGCTAGTGATCTTCTGGGTTACCTAATTCATAGATTGGCAGAGGTTCAAGGGGGAGGCGTTGGCCGTTAGTTTGGACATATCGAAGGCCTTCGATCAGGTTTGACACAAAGCGCTTCTTTCGAAGCTTCCTTCCTATGGGCTTTCCGAGAAATCATGCAATTGGATCACCAGTTTTTTTTTGCAGATCGGAGCATCAAGGTCGTAGTAGACGGCACATGCTCCGATTACAACCCCATTAACGCTGGTGTTCGACAAGGCTACGTGCTATCACAACGCTGTTTCTTCTTTATATAAATGATATGTTGCAAATCGGTAACACTCATTGCTACGTGGATGACAGCACTGATGCTTTATACACAGGCCATGCCAATATTTCTCGGGATAACGTCGCCGCGTGCCGGAACAAACTTGTGTGTGAAATCTCGACCAGTTCTAGTTTCGCAAGACTTTGTTCTCGGAAGTTTCAGACTGAGAGCGACTAAATCTATCCCCTAAAGACACAAGTGCATGAAGCGCAAGCGCAGGCATTTGCGCATTTACCGCTAAAAAGAACTCCTTTGTCGTATCTTCTCAGTTTCAGGGCACTCTCCTTGGTGGCTCAGCCAGTATCGGCATCCTTGGCGTCGCCATATCAAGTGACGTGCAGTTTCACAGTGGTCACTTGGAAGAGAAGGCCAAATTGGCCTATAAAAGCTTGGCGTGGTCAGTAGACCGGGACAGTATTTCATGCCGGCACACCGCCTGCAAATTTACAAGGCGCAGGTTCGGCCACACATGGAATACTGTTCTCATCTCTGAGCTGGAGCTTCCCGGTGCCAGCTCCTTCCATTTGATCACATTCAGCGCCGAGCGGTTCAAATCGTCGGCGACCGAGTTCTTTCTGGTTGGCCTGACTCACTGGCACTGTGGAGAGATGTTGCATCTCTTTGCATATTTTATCGCATCTATCATGGGGAATGCTCTGAGGAATTGTTCGGACTAATTACAGCCGCTCAATTTACCATCGCACATCGCGACTAAACTCGCGATATCATCCATACAATCTGCATGATTGACGGTTCACCACTGTGTGACCTAGAAGAAGTGAAGAAGTTTTCTTCCTTGGACAACTTCCTTGTAGAATCAACTGCCATCAACGATTTGTCCGGATCGATACGACTTAAGGACCTTCAAGAAAAGAGTTTTTTTAAAGGCGGGCAATTTCCTCTGGTGTTGCAGCAGGTGAGCCGCATGCTCGTTTGCCCCCTCTCCTATAAAAAGGTGGACTGTTTAGTTCGTTGGTATATTTATTTATTTAACAGAATCTACAACTTCTTACACAAGTTCTTTTAACCATTTCCTATCTATATCTTACAGCCAATAAGGAGTTACATTCCTTTTTTATTACATTGTAGCGCATAACAAATTAATTTGTGTGTTTGTGTGTGTTTCATTTTACAAAAAAAAGAAGAAGGGTTGGGTCATATTAACCTTGTGCTCCTTTGATACCATATTCAGGATGTCTGCAGCAGAAGCTGAACGGCGTCTGAAACTGGTGGCTGCCGGTCGTGAGGATGTAGATGTACGCTGTCTTGGAGATGGACGTCCTTTCGCCATCGAGGTATTTCAGTTTTGCTTTGTTTCTTCTTATTCACTTGAATACGGTTTTAGAAAGCGCCATAATTAATGCCCGGTATATGGCGAGTGATTATTAGCGCCATCTAGTATCGAGTAGCAGAAATAAGAGTGTCAAGATCTTTCTAGAAAATTCACTAGCGCCATTTAGTATGGAGTAGCAGAACTAGGAGAGCTTTCTAGGTAATTCGATGCTAGAACTTTCGACATTCTATAATGATTTCTTAAATTTACGCGAACAATACACATTGAATAAAACTATTATTTACGGATTTTATCGCGTTTAATTACTTTAATTTATTTTTATTATTATCCCGACGTTTCGGGTGCTTTACAGCACCCATGGTCACGGGGGGGACTGAGATGTTTGAAGTCCCAATGTCATAGTTAGTCCGGCTACCTTCAGTTTCTTTAATATTAATTTTTGGTCCGATTTACGCAAAACGAGCTTATAGTATCATGAAGTCTTGCAGTGGTATGCTTGGGTTTGGGTTTAATTTTGTTAATTATAGGATCCCAAGCAGATGGTAGCACCCAACCATCTTCTCTATTGAAATTTGGATGTTTTTTAATTTCAATAGCCTCGCGTATCATCCTTGGTAGGAATCGGTTCTTTTGCGAGAATTTGTGGTTTATCAAATCTAATGTAATGGTGGGGACGATCTTGAACATGTTCGCAGACTGCAGACTTCCCGGAGCGTCGGTGCTTCACATCAGCTATATGTTCCTTCACGCGGGTTTTTATAGATTTCTTTGTTTGACCTATGTAAGAGAGACCACATTCACAATCTAGCTTGTACACACCTGCATCTTGTAGAGGAATATTACATTTGATGGATGGTAAAAATTGACTAATCTTCTTCAGCGGCTTGTAGTATGTCTTAATGGACGCTCGCTTCAAGATGTAGCCAATCTTGTCCGTGACTCCTCTGACATATGGTAGTAGAGCAGGCGCGCGCTCGACTGTGGCCGGCTTCACTCGTTCACTGTGACGTAGGCGCGGGACCCGAAGCTTGTTGTCTTGCAATACTTGCTTGACGTGCTGAAGCTCCGCGGCCAGATGTTTTCTGTCACAGATCACTCGTGCTCTCTGAAACAAAAATTTACCCACGGTAGCTAACTGTGAAGGATGATGGTGAGATTCATCATTTAGATATCGGTTGGTATGGGTCTTTTTCCTATACACAGTGTAGTCTGCGAACATGTTCAAGATCGTCCCCACCATTACATTAGATTTGATAAACCACAAATTCTCGCAAAAGAACACCGATTCCTACCAAGGATGATACGCGAGGCTATTGAAATTAAAAAACTTCCAAATTTCAATAGAGAAGATGGTTGGGTCATCTGCTTGGGATCCTATAATTAACAAAATTAAACCCAAACCCAAGCATACCACTGCAAGACTTCATGATACTATAAGCTCGTTTTGCGTAAATCGGACCAAAAAATTAATATTAAAGAAACTGAAGGTAGCCGGACTAACTATGACATTGGGACGTCAAACATCTCAGTCCCCCCCGTGACCATGGGCGCTGTAAAGCACCCGAAACGTCGGGATAATAATAAAAATAAATTAAAGTAATTAAACGCGATAAAATCCGTAAATAATATTTTTATTCAATTTTGACATTCTACTCGAACATTCTGGATATTTCAATAGAAAAGGTTCTATATAAAGGCGTTTAGGACCGCGACCGGGGCAGTATTGAATATGCGATACGAGCGAAGATTTCGGAGCGAAATAAAGTGAACTAAAGTGGTAAGAGCGATTAATTATTAGTGTGTTTTAAGTTTTAATTGGTGTTCGGTAATTAAAGTGTCAATTCTGGTAATTCAATAGGCAGTTTTTATTCTCTCGAACCCTAAGCTCGTAACAATATTTAGAAGTATTCTCCTCAAATTTTGAAACGAGATTCTACAAACTACTAGTCAAGCATGTTAAGAAGTAAGTTTTAATTAATTCATTAGCATTTTTATTGTGTTATTATTGTTATTTTAATTTATTACTATCTTTTTATAAATTGTAACTTACATTACATTTTTACAAACCTTTTTTGATAATTAATAGAATCAGGCGTTATTTTGCAGAAATCAATTATATTGAAGATGGTAAGAATTACCTCGCACACATCAATAAAATAAAATGATATGTCTTACCTAGGTAAAGAGCATTTCCCGCCCTCCCTCAATTGCGTGCACCTGTCCCATCACCACTAATCCCAGTACCACTACTCCCGACACCACTCACTGGGAAAGGCACACCATCGACGATAATACGAGAATACGACACGTGTTTCGCTTCTACACGAGGCATCTTCAGGTGATCTACATTCTACGTGAATCTACATTCTACGGTGACTGACCGCAGGTGAGCGGCGAGCCAAAACACAATTTGAATTGCAATTGATGGAGGGCGGGAGGTGTTCTTCAAACTAGGTAAGACACATCATCTTATTTTATTGAGCGGATGTGCGCGAATTAATTCTTACCAACTTTAAACCTTCTTTGTCTGTCAGTAAATGATGATATTACTATATATAATTTGCTTCCACAGCGACACATAATTTAAAAAAAATGATAACAAATACGGAGGACAGTTTGGTGTTGCAGCTACGTATCTATCATCTACATCCAATATGTAATTCCACCACTTGATAAGCCAAAGGATCAGAGAATTAGTTACTTTGAGTGAGCACTGTGTCTGTTGTTGTGTTCTGATAGTTTCATTACGAATACGTGTTCCGTTACGTTCATATGAACACACACGGCCGTGTCAATACGTGTTCCGTTACGTTCATATGAACACACACGGCCGTGTCAATACGTGTTCCGTTACGTTCATATGAACACACACGGCCGTGTCAATACATGTTCCGTTACGTTCATATGAACACACACGGCCGTGTCAATACGTGTTCCGTTACGTTCATATGAACACACACGGCCGTGTCAATACATGTTCCGTTACGTTCATATGAACACACACGGCCGTGTCAATACGTGTTCCGTTACGTTCATATGAACATACACGGCCGTGTCAATACATGTTCCGTTACGTTCATATGAACACACACGGCCGTGTCAATACGTGTGCCGTTACGTTCATATGAACACACACGGCCTTGTCAATACCTGTTCCGTTACGTTCATATGAACACACACGGCCGTGTCAATCACACAGCCACACTGATTTTTTTTGTTAGTGCTACCTTTTATCTTCATAAAATCTGTTTACTGCTGAGTCCTTCTTATTCATTCACTACAGTCTATCAAAAATCCACACAGAAATAAGAGTGTCAAGATCTTTCTAGAAAATTCACTAGCGCCATTTAGTATGGAGTAGCAGAACTAGGAGAGCTTTCTAGGTAATTCGATGCTAGAAATTTCGACATTCCATAATGATTTCTTAAATTTACGCGAACACTACACATTGAATAAAACTATTATTTACGGATTTTATAGCGTTTAATTACTTTAATTTATTTTTATTATTATCCCGACGTTTCGGGTGCTTTACAGCGCCCATGGTCACGGGGGGGACTGAGATGTTTGAAGTCCCAATGTCATAGTTAGTCCGGCTACCTTCAGTTTTTGAATATTAATTTTTGGTCCGATTTACGCAAAACGAGCTTATAGTATCATGAAGTCTTGCAGTGGTATGCTTGGTATGCAGCCACACTGATTTTTTTTGTTGGTGCTACCTTTTATCTTCATAAAATCTGTTTACTGCTGAGTCCTTCTTATTCATTCACTACAGTCTATCAAAAATCCACTATTGAATATTAGACCTCCCCGTAGATTGCCTCATAGGAGAGGGTTTTGGGAAGCCCTCACCTCAGCCGTCTCAGAGATTCTAGAAGTGTTTAAATAGAGCGCTATTTAAAATTTGTCTCAGTTGTCGCGCGTTCGCAACGACATTAAGTTTCTTGTATGTTTTGCGTGTTCGCCTCTGGTATTCCGCGCTTGGCTGGTAACCGCAATTTATTGAGTTGTTATCAGGAAGATGCCGCAAGCTGCGGTCCATCTCCTGTTATTGGATACTCTTTCGCTTCTTATGACACCGACGAACATTTTTATCTAGCTATTGGAATACATACAAGATAGTTTTGACACAACTAACAATGGTAAAGATATAAACAAGCTGAATGTACTACGTACAATTTATACATAAGGGGATCTATACAATTCACATAATCACTTATTGAATAGCATTGTATATTGTATATAGCGGAAATGTTATTTAGTATGTGGTATTATTACATGCTTTTTGTGTATAGATGTCGCCATTTGAATATTGCAAGCACCAATTGCATTAAGGACATCCCTATATATTAAGAATTTGCAATACATCCAATAATTGTAGAGGACGCATTGTTGTTATTACAGTACATAGTCTTTCTAAATTAAAAAGAGGCTGGTAGATAATTGAACTTGGTGGAGCCACGTGTTTAAGGCTGCCGAAAATCTAGTTCCCCGGTCAAACCTCAAACCTATTACGCGAGATATTAACTAAAGTGGACTGTATTTGCGATTGCTTCTATGCTTATGTAAAAGCGACTACTATAGCATGCGGTACAATGCACTCGCTCTTCCCTAAACTAAAACTATTACTTGCCAAATCGATGAAAGGAATCCTGCCTGATGGGGAGAACACAGAATTGGAGCGGTTAAACAATTATTAAATATTAATCAGGCAGTAAATTAAGGAATGTTGACTCACCGGGGTTCTTCTATCCTTTAGAGCACTATAGCGGCGATTTCCGGAACCTCCTCTGGACAGACACTCTGGGGCCCCAGGGGTGCGTCAGGAGAGAAGCGTTGTAGTTCAACGACGGCTGCGGCGGGAAGAAGAGAGCGCGCGTCGGTCGCGCGTGTCATATATCCTCGGGTCCGATGATTACGCGATGTTCTAGAATCGTCTTCTTTCCCCTCCCACCCCATCACCCCGATGTGTCGCTAGGAGGGTACGAATGATATCGTTTG